TTTCTAGGGAAATAATGTTATAGATCGAGAATTGTCAAATCGAACTCACATCTGTTTTTTTTTCTCTATCATAGTAGAATTATCATGTTTTATTGCACCTGAATAAATCCAAATAAATGAGCTTGATCCTACTATTATACATTTAAACCAAATTAATTGCTAGTCATTCTCATTATTGTTGCGGAAACACTTGCATATTTTTCTTTTGATCAGTTCTCATACTTAGAGATAAAATCAATGGCAGGTTATATTGGTATTGATTCACTCTACAAACTTGACCATATACACGCTTAAATTAGTACTTATCTATTAAAAAAGCTAAAATCTAGGTTGTCAGATTTTTTTAATCATTTGCATAAATGAGATCATGGACGGCATTTTCATAATGTCGTACATGGTTATTAGATTTATACATAAATCACATAAACCTAACAATTTACTATATACGGATGAAAGTTTTAGACTGGCTTAAGATATTGTTGACACCTATATTAATTTGCCCAAAGTTAATTATGCAAAATTTAGGAGTTAATTTCCTTTAATTCTTAAAACCAAAAAAATATTTGTTATTTATTGCATTGCATATAGACACTAGGAATATTTGCATTAGTAGGGCTTATTAGAACATATTTTCTTAATTAATTTTTCAAATAATTTTTTTTTAAATTCGGAATGGGCCGGGTCGACCCGGCCCTCTCTTTTTCTTTTTTTCCCCCTCGAGTGGGCCCAACCAGCCCTTTTTCTTTTCTTTTTTCCCCCTTTCACCTGAGCTGGGCCCGGCCCGGCCTAGCTTCTTCTTCTCCCTTCTCCCCTCACCACCAGCCTCTCTCTCTCCCCTGTTTTCCCCTGTTTCTCCACCATTCAACTAACGAACGATGGAGCGGCCGTCCCTGTCCCCTCCTAGCAGAGGATGGACAAGGGAACACGACAAGGAGACTGGCATTGATAGTCAGTCCCCTCTCTCCCCATTTCCCGGCCTCTCTCTCTCTCTCCTTTCCCCCTTCTTCCCAGAGCCAGAGCAGTCCTTGCACCGGCCTAAACGGCCACAAAAGTCCCGAGTAGGCATAGGCCGGTGCAGGCCATTAATGGAGAGGATGAGATCAGAGAGAGTGAGCTGGATGTCGTCTATAAAAGCCGACAAGAGAGATAGAGAGGCGGTCGGGTATTTTGAACGAAAAACGAAGAAAGAGAGGAAGAGAAGAAGAGAAAGAATTTCAAAGAAAACAGAGAGAGAGAGAGAGAGAGAGAGAGAGAGAGAGAGAGAGAGAGAGAGAGAGAGAGAGAGAGAGAGAGAGAGAGAGAGAGAGAGAGAGAGAGAGAGAGAGAGCATACCAAGAGTCTACCGGTCGCGAGAAGGAAGCCAGTCGCCTCACCGACGCCCCCAAACCAACCGGAAGCCCCCTAGAAGTCAGCATAGACCGATGAGCCTTCCCAGCCGCAACACCCCCTATTCACCCCTGTTTTTTGGCACGGTATGGCCGGGACTCTCGCCAGCCGTTTCGCGCGAATCCCAGCCCATACCATCTTTGTTCCCGGTCCCTACTTCCTGTCGGAGATGAACCCTGGTCACCGGAGTCGACCGGGTCGCCAGAGGAGGTCGAGATCCCTTGATTTTGTTGTGCGCCCCATCTGTTTGATGAAATGCCTCAAAGAGGCTGGTTTTGTTTTGCTCGCCGGCTGGCGAGTGAGCGGTCAGACGGCGGACCCGGTCGTCGGAGAAGGTAAGTTAGGGTTCCTGAGGTGAAGACCCAGGCCATTGGTGGCTTGGGTCGTCCAGCGAGACCGCCGGATCTCATCGGCCGAAGCTCCCGCGTGCCTAGACACGTGGGAACCGTCCCTGGACCGATCTGCAAGCCAAATAGGGCCGGTTTGATCTGGTCGAACCGAACCTATTTTTTCTTTATTGATCGGACCGGGTCCCAACCGGGCCCAATCCGATCCATACCCGGGTCAATGACTTGGGTTGACCCCTTGACTCGGGTCTGATCCGGAGATCCGACCCGGGTCAACCCGATGGGTCGAGTCCGTTGACCCGGGTCGGTTCTAACCGACTCGATCCACTAACCTGACCCGGTTTAATATTATATTATTATTTTATTAAATTTTAAAAAAAACTCGAATTTTTTATTTATTTATTTATTATTATTATGATTATTATTTTCTCTCTCTTTTAAAATTAGAATATAAGTGTTGTCTAATATTTTTCTAAAATATGTGACGTATCTGAATGTTTTTATTTGTTATTGTATTATTATTATTATTATTATTATTATTATTATTATTATTATTATTATACGTGTTTAAATAAATATAATTGCATAAATTGTCATAGGGTTATACGGTAGTATTTTACATGTTATTTTTACTACTATTGTGTATTATTATGCATGATTTTTTTAATTGCTTAAATTGCCATGTTTTAAATGTTGTCACCTTAGTTAGGATTAGAACTATAGGCTGCATATCTGTCTTGACTGCTAATCGTTAATGATTATGTACTCGCTCGATCACCTCACATGTTAGGAGAAAGGTCCTAAAATCAATCCAAATTATTTGACAAAATATTTTCTGAAATGAATAGGGTAAAAAGGTACCAAAAGAGCATTAGTTATTTAACTAGTGTAACCAAGTTCCCGAATTCATTTAATCTCTGGTTCGCAGAAATAAGCAATTCTCCCATTATCTTACTTGGGTGTCTAATCAACCCACCATAAACCGATTAGTTGCGACTTCTAGATAAAAATCACTTGCAGGTTAAAAACTGTGACATTTCGAATTTCGGCCCATTTTTGGGATTTATAAAACGTGTAATTCGTCAGTGCGCTTATAATAAAATCTCGCTCGAAACTAATCACTCTTGGGTTATTATTTTTAAATTATAGATTTCGCTAGAACGCACTCGATCGAATTTGGCCGTTTTTTAGAGCCCAAACTTTGGTGTCGAATTTCTTGGAATTCCGGGACGAATTTAATTGGACGGTGTCGATATTATTGTGGCCAGCCTCGAGATTACCCGGGATATGTGGAAAGTAAAATTTTGACCGGGTGTGAATTTGGATTAGTAGACCTCTCTCGTAGTGTGTTTTGAGTTATTTTCTTTTGGCCATTTTTTCTATTTATTAATTGAAATTTTTATGGATCATTAAATCATTTTCGAGTTCGAACGTAGGCCGTTGGATCTCGATCATTACTTTGACTCTCTCTCTCTCTCTGCCGCGCACGTTTCCCCTGCGCCTGTCCTTTCTCTCTCTCTCTCTCTCTCTCTCTCTCTTCCCTCACGTCCCCTCCGCGCACGTTCACCCCCTTCCCCATGCAAACTCTCTCTCTCCCCCTTTTCTTTCTTTCTTTCTTTTCTTCTTTCTTCTTCCCTGCTTCTTCTTCTTCTTCGCTGGTTCCTTCTTCCTCGACCGCCGGGCTGCCCCTGTTCCTGTTTCTGCTCGCCTGACCGCCGCGCGCTACTGCCGTCGCCAGCCAGCTCGACTGCCACGCCGTACCGTCCGCCAGCCGCCGCCCCCGACCGATTATTCTTTCCCTCTCCTTCGCGCCCAGCTTGCTGCTCGAGCTCGCCGCGCCCGACCGCCGCCGCGCCTGTCACGGCCCGGCGCTGCCCAGCCGGCCGTCCTGCCTCGCTCCGCCGTCTGCGACGTCGCCGCTAGCCTCGCCGTCCAGCTCGCCGCCGCGGGTCTTGCCCAGCTCAGCTCGCCACCGTCGCCCCCCCTCAGCCGCAGCTTCCCCCCTCTCTCTCGCCACCACCGCCCCAACCTCCTCCCCCTCCCCTCCGTCCCGTCGCCGCTGCTCGTCGCCGCCGCCGCTCTCCGTCCCAGCCAGCCGGCCGGCCAGCCAGCCAGCCGGCCAGCCAGCTCGCCGGCCAACCCAGGCCGTGCCCAGGCCGTGGCCGAGCAGCCCAGGCCGTGCTCGGGCTGTGGCCGAGTCGCCCCCAGCCGTGCTGAGCGTGCCCTTGCCCGTGGCCGAGCACCGCGCTGAGTTGCCGGGCCGTGCGCCGAGTCGTGGCCGAGCCCCGCGCCCGTCGCGCCCTCACCCGTGCCGAGCCAGCACTGTTCACCCGGGCCATTTTAGGCCCGAGCCGATTTTTTCCCGGGTCAAAACCTAGTAAGTGACTTCCTAAACCCTACTTAGTATAATGAGTATGTTTAGACTTGTTTAGGGTGTGATTTAGTACAGGATTAGGGATTAAATTAGGCGTGGATTAGTTAAATTGAATATGCTCAATTTATGGATTATTATGATGGTGATTGTGTGGCTAAATTAGTGGTTGAATGAGATGGGTGACGTGACCAAGTTGTCGTGGCGTTTGTGGGTGAAATGAAATATTTGAATGTGCCGACTTGAATATCGGATCGGTAGGCTGATGTGGAGAGCATGACTTGAATTGGGTGTTATGGCGTGTCAGATTGACATTGGTGAAAGTGTGGTGATTTGAATTTGAATTATATGACTGAGGAAATGGTGAATTTTGTGTTGTGGTGCATGTGCATGAGAAAAGCCTAGATTGATCGGAGGGCTGAGCCTGAGGCGCAGTGGCGCGAGCAATGAGATTGGGCCTGAGGCGCAGTGGCGCGGGCAGTGAGATTGGGCCTAAGGCGCAGTGGCGCGGGCAGTGAGATTGGGCCTCAGGTGCAGTGGCGTGGGCAGTGAGAATGGATCTGAGGCGGAGTGGCGCGGGTCGTGAGAAAGTTACTCGACCACGAATGCGAATTGAGTGTGATTGAATTGATTGAATGTACGTGGTTATGGCGTTTGAGTGGCGATGTTATATTCTTGAAATACTACTGCTTTATGGTGGATATTCTAATATGCAGAGTTTGCACGTAGTTCGAGGCGAGGTAAGTATGTTGTGTGGAATTGATTGTGTTGGCTGGTGAATTGCATGTTAGACTTGTCTGGGTACGCATTAGCCTAGGTGGGGTATAGGTTGTCTGTTTATTGAGATTTATTCTCATTGCTGTAGTGCAAACATTTTCAGATTCCCAACCTTGAGCATGTCGCCACCTAGGCGTTTTAGGGTTCCCATGCATACGGTGCATGAGGAGACCAAATATCCGGGACTAAACCCGGATGAGACGTACATTAGGCATCGTACCACTGTTTGGGTAGACGTGGGACTAGAGGAGCTGGAACACCATACCTATTTGGCTTGGTCCCATCGGGTCAGGTTGGTGAATACTGGGCTAATCCAGGGTTTTGAGGGGTTGCAGCATGCTAACGAGGGTGCGGTAAATTGGGAGCCCTGGAACAAGTTCACTCCCGATGGCGAGGTGTCGGATCCCGACAGTCCACCGGAGAACCCTGGTCCAGAACCAGCGCCCGTTCCGGAGCCCGAACCCGAACCTATGGCCCCTGCAGACCTCGAGCTTGAAGAGGAATCCGAGCCCGAGCCTGAGCCCGAGCCCGAGCCCGAGGAGGAGCCTATAGTGTCCGAGCATGAGGAGGAGCCAATCGAGATCGACTCGGACACGGAGTCAGAACCTTCAGGGTCCGATTCGGATTGGGCGCCGTAGGGATGTTTAGGAGTTGGGCCTGCAAGCCTTTTTGGCAGAATCCCTTTTTGTGCAGTTAGTAGTCTGCCCGGCCACCTGTTCCTTTTTTATGATGAAGGTGGATTTTAACCCTAAAGGCCTAATGTATGAATATTTGGGATTTCAAGCTAATGTTATGTGTTTATTGATTTGCGTTTGTTCTACCCCGTTGTCATTATTTATTGTCTGGGATGTTTAAATTTCGCTTCCGCCTGCGTACGACTTTGGGTGTTTCGTTTGGCGTCGGCGACACGTCCTGGGACATCGCGACCAATACGACCTTCGGAGGGGTGTCGCGAGCCCGTCGGGGTTTGGGGCGTGACAAAAACCTAAACCCTATGTCGCAATATGGTATGGGCTTAGGAGAGCCCGAGTTAAGTCCCAAACTTAGACTTAGTGCATATCAAGCGAGACCCTTGTTTTTTGAAAATAAAACCGGAGGTCGGTCGCGATAGATATGGTTACATCTCTTGCTTTTCATTGTGTTTTAATGAACTTTAGTCACTTTTATGGGGGAAAATCAAGTTACAAGGTGAGAATTGTTATATCGAACTTGTATCTTCCTTTTTTATTATCATAGTAGAATTACCACATTTTATTGCCCCTTAATAAATAAAAATAAATGAGTTTGGCCATTCGGTTATTCATGCCAAACCGAATTAACATAACTTATGTTGTTAAAATCCAACGAGATAATCGTGGAATAATAAAAGCTTCTCATAAGTACAATCATTTAATATTCTCTCTATCCAAATTTTATATTTGCTGTGTAATGTTTCCAACTATCTTTCAATAATTGCAGAACGCATTTCAGATGACATTTTTCTGATGGATGTGGGTTTGAATTGTTTCTCGTGATCTGATTCCATTAATGAATTTTTTCATTTTCCTAATCGTTGACGGTGTTTTAAATAAATATCCTTGATACGGAAATTATGGTGCAATATTTGATGATAATAATCATCGCGGCATGAATTGATGCCGTGGGAATTCAGGTGGAGATCATGACTACATGAGAATCTGAGAGCTATTTTGAATAGGGTTCTTGGATTGGCACTTCAGTTCTTGTGCAGCTACATCACTTTTTCCTCTATGCTATAGTCACGCATGTGAGTTCTACCATAAAATCGTTCTCATAGACATTTATTTTCTCTTCCTATGCTCTTCCTTGATGAATTCACATATATTTTGGAGAGAGTTAATGATTACACGCGTTTTAGATGGGCATTTTAGATGGGTTGACGACGGTGCGACACGAATCCAAAAGAGGCCCTTTTCTTTTCTTTTATCAAATATGATTGGAGATAATCATGAGTGGCACAATCTCAAATGCCCCTAACTATGCTCACAGAGATGGGATCACACCTGAAGAAGGCAATCTTTGAGGAGCAAATGGCCAAGGACCTGAAGAATTGGCAGAAGGAAGCTGAAGAGAGGAACAAGCAGCTCAAGAAAGCTGGGCAGCATAAAAAGGAAGACAGAGAGTTTACATCCAATAAGTACATCAACCAAATACTGTTATCACAAACTACGATGTTCAGTAAAAGTCTAAACATTTCTTGGAAGTTGACCAGGAGGTAAGGCATGAGACAATCTAATGTTTATTGTCTATTTAGGTGCTTATTCAGTTTTTGGTGAATTTCTGTTCTTCATATCTTTAGTGGATCCCCTGGTGCATTCTCCGGCCAACATTAGCGAATGTAACTTAATGCAGTACGATACAGCACTATCAAGTTGTCCATCCTAGGCAAGATGCCGTTCTTCTTGTAGAAACTCTTAGGTTAACTATAAGAAGCAGACAGGTTGATCAGCCGAGTCTTAACCAAGTTAGTTCACCTGGGCTTGCCACCAACAACTCTTTTCTTAGGCTTTCTTCTCAATATTGAATGTTAACCTATACATATGACAGCATAAAGAGCTCAGGCTAATTCTCAATCATTGGCAAAGGAAAGTTAGAATCGCTTAGCAGAAATAAAAGCAGCCTCACCATACTCTTCACGCTAGCAGCATGTTTTTGCAGGACCAGAAAACCTCATATGTTCATCGTAGCCTTCTTTTAACTACTGGCAGATCTATTTCAGTATTTAAAAAATGTCGGCTCCATGGAGTTCTTTGTTTCCACTTTCAGGTTGATGCTTTAGGCAGCATTCTGACAGTGTCTTTCATCTATATGGTTGGTCATTGGTTTTACAGGTGATAAATGCCTGCTCAGCTTGTTTTGAGCAACAGACAGTTTTCACACAGCAGGTGCTGGCAAAGGCTTTGAACCAGATGGTGAGCGGTTTTTATGCATGACGCATTCCGGGACACATGTACTGTTCATTTTATAGGGACGAAATCTTTTCCATCTACCAGGTTGATCGAACTCCACTGCCTCTTCTTCTCATGAGAACGGTAACTCAGGCAATCGATGCTTTTCCTTTGCCGGTAACTCTTTTTTCAGGGCTCAGTTGTAGCTTCCTCTTCTTGCATATACACTGTCTTTAGTTTGTTTCACTGTCAATAGTACCCATAGGACTAGTTTAACTTCCTCTATCAGTTTTTTTATTTTTGGTTAACCCTTCGTGTTTCACTCCATTGTTAAAATATTTGTTCCATTTGTACACCTGATACTTTCACATAGGACTAGGTAGATATACCAGAAAGCAATCTCTTATATGATTGGATGAGCTAAGTTAAATTAAAAGCAATTCAAATTTGGGCATCCAGTCTCCTTTTCCAGGGACTTTCTTGGCTAATCGCAAAAGCATCAATTCCCTTGTGGACAGGAAAAATGGAATTAAGATGAAAAAAATGAGAATTCTGCAAAAGTTGTTTCTTCAAGTTTAAAGGCTTAAAGCTCACTTATTATCAATTGATGGGTTTTAAGGGACAGATAGCGTGCAACTGAAACAAAAAAAAGTTCAGAAAAGTAAAGGTCCTTTCGGTGAAATACATAAGTGAAGCGACTTCTTGGGACGTGCAAGGCTGAATTCTCTCTGCACAATAGCTGAGTTCTCTCAAATTCGATCAAATAATACATTATTACAATACGTAATTGAAAAATGATTCTATAAGTGTGGAACTGATCCTAGCACCCCTTGCTTTAAGGATGCTTTATTTTACCTTCAGACCCTCAGCACACTCTACTCTAACAATGACCATAAGCTGGCAATTGAAGCAGTTCTGACTCATGCTGACTTTCTTGATAGAGGTTATTGTTCTGGGGTTGCTTTCTGGATTGTTAAGCACACTGATTGCTTAATAGTCTCTGGTTTCTTCTCTCCTTTTCTTGATGCCTTTTGATTTAATTGTCTAAAAGCTGCAGAATAAATGGTGTTTGTATATGTCTCCAGAAGAAGTGGCTCGCTTCTGTAACTTGCATGGAACTTGACTCTTCGGCTGGAAAACAGAGTTGACTTTGACTGGTCAGTAAGCAGGGTTAAGACGATGGAAGTTTTATGGTTTTGAATGAAGTGGACGCTCGCTTTCAATTCGATCCGAGAAAGCGGGAGCATAACCTTTCATCCCCACATTTTCCTCAAGGCAAACAAAAAATTCAAATCAGAATACATGATTCTTGGCTTCATTTTCATCTGCAGGTCTTACATTGGAGAAAAACACAGAAATGAAAAGGTCAAGGGAAACAATTTGTTCAAATGAGGGAGGAGAGTTAGTGTAACTACGAGGAGAGAGTAGAAATTGACATAGCCTAAGGTTTGAAGCACCAAAAGTTGAAGAATGTATAAATATGCAGAATATTGGTCAGTCTCATTATTGTTGTGGGTACACTCGCATACTTTGCCTCTAATCAGTTCTCACACATAGAAGTAGAATTAATGGTAGCTTTTGTTTGGATTGCTTCACTCTACAAACTTGATCATGTACACCCTTGGTTTAGTACATACCTATTCAAGAAAACTAAAATCTTGGCTGTTAGATTCTTTAATTTTGATAAATGAGATGGCAGGCGGCAATTTCACAATATAGAACATAGTGATTAGCTGTATCTAATAAGTACTTAATGCACATAAACCTAACAGTTTACTATATACAGATGGAAGTTATAGACCGGTTTACGGTAGGGTTACATATCTTGCTTTTCGTTGGGTTTTAATGAACTTTACTCACTTATCTAGGGGGACGAAATTTATAGATCAAGAATTGTTATATCGGACTTACATCTCTTTCCATTTCTTTTTATCATAATTATCGGGAAAAGTGCCAAAAAAGTCCTAAACCTTTTGCGTTAGTGCCAATTTAGTCCTAAACCTTTTTTTGGTGCCAATTACTTCCTAAACCTTTTAAATTGGTGCCAATTCAGTCCTAAACATTTTATTTTTGTGCCAATTTAGTCCTTCCGATCAATTTTGACTGGAATTTGCCGACGTGAACGCCTGCCGGCCAGTGTCCGGTCACCAGCGCCGAAGTGGACAACTTTAACAATATTTTAATATTTTTTTGAATTTTTTTTTCCACTTTTTTTTGTCCCCCCTACCTCTGGCCGGTCGCCGGTCCGGCAACCGGCAAGAGGCCAAAGGCCGGCGAGCTCGACCTCGCCTGCCACTGGCGAGGGCGGCGACCTCGCCTGCCACTAGCGAGGGCGGCGGCCTCGCCTTGGTCGGGCGAGGCTCGACCTCGCCAAATCCGGCGAGGTCGGGCCTCGCCGCGGCCTCCGGCGAGGGCGAGCCTTGCCATGGTCGGGCGAGGCCCGACCTCACCGGATCTGGCGAGGTCGCTGGGCGGGGTTCGACCTCGCCAGATCCGGCGAGGTCGGGCCTCGCCCGACCACGGCAAGGCTCGCCCTCACCGCAGCCTCCGGCGAGGGCTCGAGCCTCGCCTGACCAAGGCGAGGCTGCCGCCCTCGCCAGTGGCCGGCGAGGTCGAGCTCGCCGACCTGCCAAAGGAAGGAGGGGGGGACCAAAAAAAAAGTGGAAAAAAAAAAGAAAAAAAGGAAAAAAAATAAAAATTCAAAAAAAATATTAAAATATTATTAAAGTTGT